GAAAGGCCTAATATACATTCTTCATGACTTCTCCTGGTGGACGTCAACACATGGAATTCCACATATTGGTCTTGCAAATGCTCAATGGCTACGGTGAACGATAAAGTTCATCGCTATCAATGCAATTATCCCACATACAGTAGCACTCAAAAGTATTCGGCCAAATGCTTCTTCAGTCGTACTTTTCATTCGTGACTCCTTTCCTACTCAATTTTATTATGCGAAATTTCAATATGTGTAGCATGGGTGTGTTGTGAATATTTGCCACTATTAACCTGCAATCTGATCGTGCTCCAGATATCCCAAAGGGCTTAAACAAAAAATCAACTGGAAGTAGGGACATTGGTCCTTCCAGGAGTCCTTTCCTTTTTGCCATGTCTTAAGTGTGCGAGCGCTAATGTCGAACTAGTAGAGGAGGAAATGTACATAAGGTGCGAATAACTGTAGACGTCGATAACTTTGCTGATGGCGAAGTCTACTATCGCATCAAACCCTTGCTCTTAGTTTTGTGGATACTGCGGTTTAGAGTCGAATAGGGTTGGGTAGGGTGAAATATGCCCTAGATAAACATATCTAAATTTCACGCGATTTGGTCTACTGAGAAAAAAGTTTTGAACGAAAAAGCGTCAAAGCATTTCACCGAAGACTTTTGAGCGCTACTGTATATGGAACGTCTGCCTTCACTACGGCAGCCGTCCATTTGAGGCCTTTGTGAGAAACCACCTCAATTTTCATTCCGTTCACTAGGCTTCTATGTCAGACAGAAACAAACTCTTTGAAAAGAGCTAGTGTGAGTGTACTGCTTTCTATTTATTTAACTTATTTCAGGATTTTGTGGGTCATCATTGTGTTGTGCTGCTTTGGTGGCTTCATCTGGCAGTTCGTCACACTCTTCACCAATTACCTCGCTTACAGAGTCAATACCGAGACGGAGGTAATCCAATGAAAAACTCTTAAGTGCTTTGAAACTGCTAAAAAGAGGAGTCGCGCAGTCGGACCGAATCGAACATATCAAAATTTCAAATCAAAGGGGTTGATGAGGTAAATCTAGCGAGAACTGTAGAGCAAACACCCCCAGAAAGAAGAGTTCCGTAATGAGAAAGTGGATCTCTCCACCTTACACCTGAAGAGCAAACCAATTTCTACCAGAAAGGAAAATTTCCAAGATGTAGTCAATTTTGTATTTTTGGCCAATACAGTTCGCCTAGACAGTAGGCAAATGGTGGGGGTGCCTGCCAATATGAGGCAGGTTATCCTTCCTCCAAGGACTTGAAATTAGGCACCAAAGACAGAGAATAAACAGTTACTTTGCAGCTACAATTCTCGGATCGTGAATTTGCCACGGTCACGTTGTGTCATCTGAATGCATGGAAAAAGGACGAGAGTGGTGCAGCCATCCCCAAGATGAGAGATCTGGTGAGTAATCTGGTAGCCTCATGTGATACTGAAAAACAACCCTGCTTGAATACAGATAGATGCGTATCAATCGGGCACCGCCTACGCCGACTACGGTTTCAGCAATCGTTTTGATGGTAAGCGTCAGCAGAGTGCCACAAAATTTACAGCTTTGATGAGCGAGATTCTCTACTCGTCCAGTAAACTACCGGTCAGTTGGCACTTTTAGTTTATGACGTCTCCAAATACTCATTGATCCCGATCAGTGGTTCTGGTATATGTACCGAACGTACGTCCGAGGATGCGTGCGGCCAATTGCGCGGCGAAGTTCGTAATTATTCGAACGACTATAGCGCCTATCATTGGGGCCCAAATTCGAAGTAGAATAGATTAGAAGGATCACCTGACCCTAATAAGCTACTCTATTTAGAGTTTGTGCCCCGAAAATTGGCGTCAGACTTATACAAATCGTCACGGCCTTCGCCGCGCAAGTTGCCGCGCGCGTCTTCGGACGCACGTTCGTACCGTCCCCCTTCAGTGGTTCTACAAAATGTTGTTGGATCTTAACAATAAAAGGAGTTGTCATTCAGAAAAGCGATATGCGGTATGGTCAAACACTCCTTGAGTCCATCCATCACGGGAAAGGACGGAAGCTCGGGTTAGCGAGCCCCAGCGCCTTATCGTGTCTTTTCTAGGCATTTCCTCGAGTCGATACTGAGAATTGCCATGATTTCAATAGCAGCCAGTACATGATCTATTTACGTAAGCAAACTGATAGGCAAAACCATTGACTCACCCCGACCGGGGTTATTCGAGCTCCACTCCATCCACAAGCAACATCAAGGCTGTATTGTTATGCGGCTTTCACTTCCCTTATCATAAAAGGCTGTAGTAAGTAGTCAATTGAAGGCACAACTCACTTTAATTTTGAGGTACACGTTTTTATTCGAAATGCGGAAGTATAGGTTGGGAACAATTCATCGGTAGTGAAGAAAGCGAGAGAAATCGTTGATTTCGAGAAAAGTACGGCTCTTGAAAAATAGAAAAATAGAGCTTGGACGAGATTACCATGACGGAAATAACATGGAAGGAGTATTCGGTGCACGAAGAGCTGACTACATCAAGCTAGAACTGTGCAGAAAACCCCATCATTGTCGCTATAGGCCATGACAAGTTGTTTGAACTTTATACATGGGTTCCCTAGTGATTGGCGCAGCCTCTACAATGCCGGTGAAACTCGTCCGAGGATTCACACGGGCCAATCTTTGAGCCTTAATAACTACCTAACTAGGCCGTTTTCCGACATAATAGTGCCAGATATGCTATACGAGGGGGCCTGGAGTTCATTTCAAGAGGAAATCTCAAAAACCATTTCTATCGTGAACTGAGCTATGTTGAGTAGTGGCTAAACCGAGGCTAGTCCAAATATTACCATCGACGAGAAGCAAATGAGAAATGTCGTAGAAGAAGTATTAGATTGCAGGGTGCGAACCATGCGTATACATATGAGGACCTTGTGATCACCTGCACGTACAATGCCAAGTCCTGCAACACAACGTTGGTTCCTATTGATGTTTTGAATAAAGCATATCTCCCAAGCAGATCACCGATTTCAGAGACTTTCGCGAATTCTACGATCCATCGTATGGAATTTGTCATATGTTCAATTTCGATGGCAGCAGGACGTCTTCGAGAGCAGGGCCTCTGTATGGTCTCCGAATGGTGATCCGTACAGACCAAGCAAAGTACCTACCATGGACCGAAACTGCCGGTGTTATTATGTCCATCCACGGAAAGGTTAAATTTCAGGCTAACTTTCCTAAGTTTTTACTATTTTATCGGTATGTAGAGCTTAAAAGTCTGTAGATCAGCCCGGCTGAGGTTCCTGTAAGAGTTTGTCAGCTCCAACCTTCTTTCAGAAACAACAAATAACTCATGCTTAAGGGAAGGTTTTCATCACAAAACACCCTGTATTCATGCAGAAGACTGCCTGTGACTGCTTGAGGATGGATGTATGCAGTTCTGAGAGCTTTAACATCGAATAGGACAAACCCGAACGAGCTGTGGCCCCTTTGTTGTCTAGCGCTGTCTGTCGAGCCTGACTTAGACAGATCTAATTCTGATGTCCAGTTCCCTCCACCCCCACCTACGATGGGAGCAGCTTCAGGTAGAAAGTGGAATATGACAAGTAGCGGGTGTAGAAAAAAGCTTGTTAGAAAAGATTTCCCTTCACCAAGGGGTATCTCCCGATGACCCTCACAGTGACTTTTCGCGTCTCATCTTTTGTCCTAGTGTTCTACCCGGTTCCATCTCATCTTTATGTAATTTGTTTGAAGGACGATGTACCGTTCCCGGACGTATTTGGGTATTTCGCGGCACCAGGAACAGCCACCTCATTAGGCGTTCGATTCATCAGCACCAGTAGACTTCCAGCACCTTACGGCACCTGCACTAAACAGGAAACACTCAATGGCAAGCATTACAATGGGAAGTACGAGGTAATTAGTGATTGTTCGGAGTATATTCTCTATCCATCTGAGCTGTTTGCAGGTAGAGTCGTGCTTTCGCGACTGTCTTCAGGACCGAATCGTAACCGACTGCGGGTGTTACGATCCAGCCTATCATCATGCGGACGACGGAGGAGCCACGCCGAGCTGCGCTGATGGCGATCAGCTACAAAACTGTGAGTGTCATGTTTTTTTCAGAGCCTCATGTGCTTAAGGACAAGTGCTACTGAACGATACATAACTAAATCACCTCACTACAAAAGCTTTGATGCCTCAGGTGTAAGTTGGATTACGGTAAAGGATGAATATCTGGTCATACAAAACGAGGCCGTGAGCCAGGGAAGCATCTAACGGCAACCTATGTCAAAGGAACACTAGTACGGCCTCCAGCACGATATTCAGATTTCTTTTTGAAAGCTCTAAGCTCTATGTCCCTCGAACCCCTACCTAAAGTGATCCAATGGGCCGCTGTGAGTCGCGCTGGAGAGGAGTGGAGACTGAAGAATCGGCACCCTCTAAAGAAAAGCGATGGTGAATGTGACGAGAGGGCCAGATCCATACACGGGTTTCGTCAAATTAGGGTCGTGCACCTGAGCAGTTGCATTGTAGATTTCTGACCGCTGTAATTTTATTGAAAGTCAAAATTGAAAATCGTTCCCCCTGCCTTTGTCCAGCTTTTTCTTAACTTACATCGAAGATTTGCTGAGATAGTTTCTCATGTCATTTCGTGAGTTCTCCTTCCAGTGGCATGTATCGACCGCATCGCAAACTCAGATTCCGGCGGCTTCAACATCATCAGAGACTGTGTCTGCCCCCAACCGTGCGAGTGAGTCTAAACCCATCAAAATTGATCATAACTGAAGAGATCAGCAATAATCTGTTTAGGGTGGATTCGTATTCTGTAACGGTGTCCACAGCGAAATGGCCTTCGACTGCATATAAGGTGAGCAAAATGGAACTGAAGCTTTGCTCAAGTAGCGATCGGTTTAGTTTCGAACTTCTCTCTTATTAACCCATTGACGACACTGCAGTCCATATTTGTTTTATTTATCTATATTTCCGTTTTTTAACGATCTTTCTCCTCAAAACATAAAATCAGGCCTAAGTGGAACTGTATACTGCATCAGCATCACTTCGTCTCAGTCGGTTCGACCAATAAACCTTCCTGATATACCGGAATATCAACCGTCTACCGGCGGCTCACAAACGTAACACTCGTTTATATCCGAGCAACCCAATATTTCTTGAAAGATTCTTCAATCGTAAAGTGAAAAAAAGGAAACTTGATAATTTGCCTGAGCCATCCGGGTTACGGAGAGCATGTATGCCCTTCATCACCGGAAAAAAGAAAAAAATTTTTCTTGTGGTCCGTCAATTCCAATTACGCTTACTTTCCTAACGACATATTCTAGTTTTCCAGCCTGAAGAATGCCAGCGAAACTCGTCCGGTAAACCGTGGGATACGGAGGACACGAATTGCTTGGAGTGGTATCAAAAGAATACTCTTCTGGTCGAGATCTACTATGAGCGAATGAATTTCCAAGTGCTCACCGAATCACCGGCTTACTCGGTACCATCAAACCTTTCCCATTCGTGATGTCTATGACAGCTACCTTGTTTCAGTTAGTGAATTTGGTTTCGGATGTGGGCGGTCAGGTCGGCCTGTTCCTTGGCATGAGCATCATCTCTGTGATCGAACTTCTGACCCTGTTGCTGCTACTTATCTGCTACTGTGCCACTCACAAAAGTCGAAAACGCGAAATTGAGGAAATCGAGAAGGAGACACACAATGCTAGGGTGAGTGTAAATAATTGAGCAATTGAAGTGATTAAGGAGAAGCGGGAGGTGGAAGCTGACATGGTCGCTTCGCCAAGGTAACTCTCTCAGATGGCTTTGAAGATTCCTATGGCCAG